TGTCGTTTTTACATTAACCAGTCCTTGTTGTGTCTCCATGATCATGACTAAGCAGACATGTCTCGCACTGTCGAGAATAAAACATTTCGTTCTTTCTTTATATAAGTATTGCTCGATAACTATTGTTCCAGATAATATTATGTCAAGCAGTACATCAACTTTTAATCGGAAACGCTTATACCGACATTTTACTTCGGCTCCTGTGCTCATGAAACCATGGATTACAACATGGCGAAATCATGCCGACCGTTGGCTATTTTCACCATGGTAATAACCTTGATGTTTTTGCAAACCAGCGCCATAATGTTCCGGGATCCCACTATTAACCCACGAACTTCTCAAGTGAGTAAACTACGGAAATTTTGGTTGTAGTTTATTCTAACCACACCTTTTACTGTTCCAAAGCAGCTATGTTTGTAGGTATATCTAGTCGTGCCTTCACTTGTATGCCTCCTTCTACCGGGAATATACCATTTATTTATTTATTTAAAACTTCAGTAGCGTAGCCATTGTACTGACTAATAACGCAAGTACTTTTTATTATTGCAGTGAAGCAAGAAATGTAGATATTTATCTTTTCAATATATTGTGCGATCAGCATATGCAGAAACAAACGGGGGTAGGTTAAGTGTCTCGGTTTGCCGTGAAAAAATCTGAAAGCGTCTCGGTTTGGCTCATCAATACTCTGCCCACCTTACCCAACAGGTGCGTCGCCACCGCTGAACCTCACAGTAGAGCATTATACTTAGACGTCGCCGTGACATACGCCTCAGGTGTTCCAGCAGCGTTGTGTGCAGTTCGCTCGCGGTTGCTCCTATACACACGTATTCACAGTTATTATGAATACATTTGTGAACACCGTCAGTCATCTTATCTACGAAAAGTGTGTCTTTCAGATACACCATTGTTGAACAGATCCCGAGTTTTATTCCTTGGTTAGTGCCGTCAGAAAGGAAAAGGAAGTTCCTTCTACCTATAATATTCTTATCGTTCCAATCCACTCCGCTGTATATTTTCCATGTGGTCTTACCATGTTGTGAAACGTGTCTTCCATTACCGGTTTCGGGTGTCCACTATTCAGAAATTACCTTACTGTCTACTTCCTTCTCTGTGCACATGGCCTTATCTGTGAAACACAGAGACTGGAATTGTAGTGCTGTGTCCCATCTGTGTCCGTCGGTTGACGAAATATCGGTTCGGAAGCTAATAATTCTTGCAAACAGAGCAGTCAAGGAATGGCGATGTGCTACTCTATGGTGGGCGATCTCGGATTATTCAAAAAATAGCTTTTCTTATCCACTTTTGTGTTCAAAATGTGCCATCCACTTGATACCAACAATTTTTGGACATTTACTGCAGTTTGCCAGTACTATGTACAACAGAGTGGACATTGGCGATCTAATGATGACATCATGTTCTTGAGTGCCTACTGTAGGACTAGTCTATACTAGTCCGAGAGTGTTCTCGCTCTGGTAGGGATGCCAGAAAACCAGAAAGACGGACACAACGGATTGTATTCGCGGAAGGCTACAATCGAACGAAAAACGAATGAAGCGACGAGAGCGTACGTCAGTGCCGGAACTCACCGTGGAGAAAAGTGGTGAGCCGGATGCAGTTCACAATGGCCGTAGAGTCGGCATTAAAACAAAAATCAATATTCTATGACTGAGTAATAAAAGTGTACATAAAACAAGAAATATCTTTTGGGTTGCTACAGAGCTCCCATCCTAGAAGGCTGAACAAAGAAGCCTTCGAAATCAACTGGTTGTGGATCCAAGTTCGCAAAAGGTTCTGGTATACAATGAAGTGTCTGCCCGGGTTCGGAAGAAAAATGTAGCCGAAAATTTGTATCCGCTGTGCCGTCCGGTCTTTATTATTTATTGATTGCAGGGCAGGGTGCATTTCGGCGAGCCGTTGGAGCGGGCTTGTCGGACTACAAAAAACTGGCTAGTCCAGAAAAAGGCCGACAGGACCTCAACCTCCGCTGCTGCCAAACGGTGCGCTTGGGAGTGGTCTCTCCCCCCGCCGCACCCCGCCCCGCGCCAAAAAGACCCTCGTCCCACGAAGAAAACGACCATGGTCCCACAGCGAAGCTACCCTAGTCTCGCGGAGAAGCGATCCTCGTCCGGCGAAGAAGCGACCCTCGTCCCGCCGAGAAACGACACTCGTCCCGCGGAGAAACGACCAGTGTTCGCATCAGGGTCCTCGAAAACATTCCTCGTGTGGGCCAGTCGATCGAAGGGGAGGGTTGGTGCATGTAAAAACGAGAAAATAGAAAAACGCGCGTAGGAAACGCCAAAAAGAACAAACGAATGGCCTGCGTGTTCAAATATTTTTTTTAGTTTTTGAATATTTTTTTGAAAAAGGTTTTTTTGGAGGTTTTTGATATTTTTACTTGTTTTCAAAACGTTAATCGACCAAAAATGAGGCAAAAATATACAATATCTACCAAGTTAAAAGTATTTACACTGTACATGGTCGGAGAAGCGAACGGGCTTACGTACCTCACGACCACGGCGATTAGTCGTGGGAGGCGGCGGACTAGGTTTGGGTGATGTCGGGACTGCTGAAGCTTGCAGACCGTGATCGTGGTCTGCTTGGACTTCATTAGCATGCGGAAAACTCGTGTGGTGTGTGGTGACGTCGCACGAGGCACTACTAAACGAAGTAGGCGAGGTAGTTACTTCCATAAAGGCGGGTTTTAGACGGTCGATGGTGACGAATTCGTGTCGACCACCGCGGTCAATAGTGTACGCCTTACTCGCACGATGTAGCACCTTGAAGGGTCCTATGTACGGCGACTGAAGAGGCTGTCGAACACCGTCTGCGCGAAGAAAGACGTATGCACACGTAGACAGCTTCTCGGGCACATACACTGGTGTCTTCGCGATCGAGGAGCGGGTGGACATAGCTCACGCATCTGGTGAGCCAATCGATCAGCGTAACTTCCGTAGTCAAAAGTGGAAGTACATGGGGCTGGTGCTACCAGCTGTCTGGGCAACCGCAGCGTGCAACCGTAGACTAGCTGCGTTGGTGTGGCGTCGAATTCGGTCTTAACCGTGTTTCTTAAACCTAGGAGAACGAGGGGAAGCGTTTCAGACCATGAAGGATCTGCGTGCGCACGTAGCGCTGCCTTCACCTGGCGGTGAAAACGCTCCACCATGCCGTTAGCGGCCGGATGATACGCCATCGTCTGGACGTGGCGACAGCCTAAATCCTTAAGCAACATGGCAAATGTCGACGAGAAATATGACCCTCGATCGATGGTCATGATGGCGGGACAGCCGTATTGAGCTACCCAGCGCTCCTGAAAAGCTTTCGCTACCGTTTCCGAGGAGCAATTTGGAATAGGGACGGCCTCAGGCCATCTAGTAAATCGATCGATGCAGGTCAGTAAATATACAGAGCATTGGGAAGGCGGCAGAGGACCTACGAGGTCGACGTGCACGTGATGAAAACGTGCGTCTGGCGTCGGAAACGTGCCTAATGTGCTTCTCGTGTGTTTGTGCACCTTCGCGCGTTGACATGGAAGGCAAGCAGCTGCCCAAGTACGGACGTCTCGATTGACATTACGCCAAACGAAATGTGCGGTTACGTGTTTAACCGATGCACGAACGCCTGGATGAGACAAACCGTGCAACGCGTCGAACACGGTCTGACGAAACCCGCATGGGACGACTGGGCGCGGCGTGCCCAGAGAAAAATCGCAGAGTATCGTTCCGTCTGATGATGTCAGCGGAACGGGTCGTATATCCAATGAGGGAGACCTGCGTAGTAGATCAAGCTCAGGATCGTTGAGTTGCGCTGTGGCCATGGCTGTCAAGTCGATAGCAGTGCCGGCGTCAGCGGAGATAGCTTGGATACGAGAAAGTGCATCAGCGACGCCGTTGTGCACACCTGAGACATGCCGTATATCGGTCGTAAACTGAGCGATATAGTCGAGGTGGCGCGACTCTCTAGGAGAGTATCGGTCGGTAGTCGAGCCGAGCAAGTAAGTCAGGGGTTTGTGGTCGGTGAAGACGACAAAGGAGCGGCCTTTTAGCACGTGTCGGAAGTGACGTATCGCTAGATATACGGCTAGTAGTTCTCTACCGAACGTGCTGTAGCGAGATTCGGTAGGTTGTAGACGTTTGGAGAAAAAGGCTAAGGGCTGCCACGTGTCGGCTACTCGTTGCTGCAAAACACCGCCGACTGCCACGTCCGAGGCGTCAGTACTGAGGGATAGTGGGGCGGCCGGATCGTGATGCGCTATAGAAGCTATGTTGGCGATAGCCTCTTTCAACGACTTTGAAGCAGCGCGTGATGCGGCAGGAAATTAGAATTTCTTGAGTTTCCCTCAGAGAAGGTCCGTGAGGGGTTGCATCAGCGAGGCGCAGTTGGGTATAAATCGACGGTAAAAGTTGACAAGGCCATCAAATCGCCTGAGCTGTTTGAAAGAATGAGGCTCGGGTAGTCGATGATAGCTTGAATTTTGTCCTGCAGTGGCAAGACGCCTGCAGAAGAGATACGATGACCCAGGAAATTGACTGAATCGACACCAAACGAACACATTTCTGCGTTGATCGTCACCTCGTGTTGAGATAAACGATCAAAAGTGTTCGTACGTGGCGTATGTGCTCTTCTCGTGAAGAGCTTGCGATTAAAATGTCGTCGAGATAAGCGTAAGCGAAGTCTAAACCGCGACGAACTTGGTCGATGAAACGCTGAAAAGTTTGCGCCGCGTTCTTTAAGCCAAATGGCATGCGCAGAAACTCGATCAAACCAAATGGAGTCGTCACGGCAGTTTTAGCGATGTCCGCTTCGGCTACCGGAATTCGGTTGTATGCGCGTACCAAGTCGATTTTGCTGAAGATACTTTTACCCGCCAGACTGGCGGTGAGATCCACTATGTGTGGGATCGGATAGCGATCGGGCGTGGTCACCGTATTCAAGGATCGGTAGTCGCCGCAAGGACGCCAGTCGCCCATGATCTTCTTCGGGACCATGTGCAGAGGTGACGCTTATGAGCTGTTGGACGGTCTGACGATACCGAGTTGAAGCATGTGGTCAAATTCTGCTAGTGCGGCTCGTAGTTTGTCTGGAGCAAGCCGTCTTGGTCGTGCGCTAATTGGCTGACCGCGAGTAACTATGTGGTGAGCGACCTCTGTCGTGACTGGTGGAAGCTCTGCAGCCGATCTAACCAATCGCGGGTGTTCGTAGAGGAGGCTCAAGTAGTCGGTCGGTGCGTCTGCGATCCGAATTACAGGGTTGATTATCGGGGCATCTGAAAGGACACCATCAACACCTAGTTTCGTATGATCATCTAAAATTCTGTTGCGACCCGCGTCGACAAGCAATCCAAAATGGCGAAGAAAATCGATACCGATAATTGCGAAAGGTACTGACGCAACCGTGAAAACCCAGTGAAAGTCTCTGCGGAGATTTAAATCTAGGTTCATCATGCGCTGACCGTATGAAGCTATCGGTGAGCCGTTGGCTGCCCGTAGATTGTACGTGGGCTTCGTATGCTTGTTATGCGCGTTGGCAGGGATAACGCTCACTTCGACTCCTGTGTCGATAAGGAAAGTGAGGCGGGAGCGCCTATCCTTGACGTAAAACAGACGGCCTGTTTTGTCGCTGCCGGACGCGTGGGCCGCATTCACGTGCCGGCGAACTAGTTTCCCTGTGCCACTACACCACGCTTGGCGCAGGGTGAACGGCAACGTCGAGCGTTATCACCATACTGGCGATGATACCAACACAAATCATCCATTAAATTGGCACTTCGGGTTCGGCTGCGAGGGAGTGATGGACTGCGTCTGCGCGGTGACCTGGATCTGTACGGTGGAGGTCGGGGCTGATGGGCACCGTGACGAACGGCGACAAGTTCGTGGTCAGCGTGCGGTCTTAGTTAGCCTTGTCTTTCTAACTGCACGGTTGCTAATTCACGGCGAAGCGCTGCTGTCTCCTCGTCTCTGGTGTCTGCTTGCGCTGGCGCTTTTGCATTCAAGTCTTTATCCGTTAACGTGGCGAAAATGCTGCTGGATGCCTTCATGTGTTGAGGGTTTCTCTCAAAGGCTGCGTCCGCGGTTATTGCCAACTCTTTGAGTGATCTATTTGGATAAGCTACGAGCATTAAAGGAAGAGGATCAGGTAGGCGGGAGAGCCACAATTCTTTTAATGCTTCTTCACTCATGTACGAAGGGCCAGCAATCTGCTGAATATCGCGGAGCAAAACCAAATGCTTGCGATCGCCTAGCTTAGTGCTATGAAAGAGTTGCTCCAGTCGAGCACGAGCGCTGGGTTGCGACTCCTTTAGGATCAACTGCTTCATTGCTTCGTATTTACCGTCTTTAGGTGGATGAAGCAGTACGGCTTCAACCAGTGTCACCACCTGTTGCGAAAGGCGTGGGACCAGTTGGTTGTATTTAGCTTGGTCGGCAGAGATCCCTCGGTTCTCTAACTCTATCTCAAAAATGGCAAACCAGACGTTGGGCTTGTGTACCATAAAATCCAGAACAGCCAAGGTGAGCAAATCCACGCTGCCGCCCGATCCGGGTTTTACATCGGCGTCAGATATAGTATATGAATAACACGAATGGTTTTAAAAACGAAATGGACGGAAAACAATCCACCAGGGCTTAGGGATAAAACAACTCGGAACGAACTCACCGAAAACGGAAGGATCAAAAAATTTGAAGATTCGCGCGTGCGAATCGGGGTCACCAATTTGTAGGACTAGTCTATACTAGTCCGAGAGTGTTCTCGCTCTGGTAGGGATGCCAGAAAACCAGAAAAACGGACACAACGGATTGTATTCGCGGAAGGCTACAATCGAACGAAAAACGAATGAAGCGACGAGAGCGTACGTCAGTGCCGGAACTCACCGTGGAGAAAAGTGGTGAGCCGGATGCAGTTCACAATGGCCGTAGAGTCGGCATTAAAACAAAAATCAATATTCTATGACTGAGTAATAAAAGTGTACATAAAACAAGAAATATCTTTTGGGTTGCTACACTACTTCCGACTGAAACCCTAGCTAGAACAACATACCACGCAATGTCTTACTCACGGTTGTTTCAACCAAGTTAATTTTCGGTCACTCCCTAGGTTAATCTCTTCAGTCAAACAGCGTTTCACCATACCCAGTGCGTCGCGTTTCGGCATCTTGGTGAGGAGTGCGCTAACGTTAACATAGATCATCATTTCATCTTCGTTTCACAAGAACTCTTGACGGTTCTTTACAAACGTATTCCTTCACCCTGTCAACGGCTACATTATACTAGCGATTACATATAGACCAGTAAATGCGAACTTTTGCCAACCCGGTAACCTTACCACAATTAACGCGGTACTCTTCCGCAAAGCTCGGTGCAGTGGATCATGCATTGTTGTGCAGATGCTGATGCTAGCCTCATCCTTAAGGCCGATCAACTGCAGTTAACAGGCAATTTGAACATACACACCGATAACTAACGCACTGTTCCATGATAGCGCGTAGTGAAGCACCGCACGCATTAATTATTTCACCTAGCCACTATTAACCACGCCCGATCAAACGTAGACACCGCTAAGTCTAGGTCACACCACGTGAGGTTAACGGACCTGCTTGCATGCAGCTAGTTTCAGTGAAGGCAATCGATACTGTCTCATTGTGGAGCACATTTCATGTCCGGTCGTCTGCGCGTAACTGTGAGCACTATGAACGCGGATGGCCGCCCACTTCTGTGTTGTGTGTCTTGATGCCGCGTAAATGAGTAGGTGGAAGTTACAGTACTTCCTCAACCGTCCATAGATGCCGCGTGCTAGTCCGCATCTATCCTACAGTTAATGAGCTCACGTGTTGTTTTCACGTCCGCGTGTGCATCACGTGGTTTGTTGGCTGAGCGCAGTCTAACCCACGCACCAACCGATGCAAATGTTCTGAGTATTCTTGTACTGATTTGCAATTGGTCAAGACGATGGGCACGCATTTGTGCGTGTGCGCCACTGAAATCAACTTGATGTACTTATGAATTGGGTTGAATGTTCTTAAGGAGGAGCTTGATTCCGTTATGGATTGGCTTGAGTCGTAAAAGGTATAGGTCACAGAATCGTAATGTTGCACAGTGCATAAATCCGGGAATGTGTATACCTCTAAGTTGTAAGCGAACTTTAATCCGAAAGGTACAGTTTCGCAGAACAAATACAAAGGTACTTCTCGCGCCCTGCCGCACGGAATTTGCAGGCAAGTGAAGGTATCTGCCTGTGAAAATCTATGATGTGAATACTATCATCTCGCGATCGACACGGGCGAAGCTTGGCAGTCCGTTACTAAATCCTAAAACTCTGATGGCCCAAAATTTATCCCGGGAACAATTGAAGTTAGATGGTGAGTTTATATATGAAAATAAATGCAATGATCTGCGTCTCCGTGGAACAATCTACTTAGCTTTATGTGTCGACAATAATCTTATTGGAATGGATTGGATTGTAAGACTACACTTGCTCAGCATACTGCTCAATCATGTTTGTCCTGAAAGGAGTGTAATGAGCTGTACAGCTGTACCGACTTATTCAAGTCAGTTGCACTACCGATGTACTTCAAATCCCAATGCACCAGTCGGGAAGTCACCCACTGAAGTGCTCATGAATAGGGCTGCTAATCACTCTGGATTTGATGGCCCCGGAACGCACAGTGATACTTTGCACGAATTCAGTGGTGGTGGGGAATCAGTAAAACAAACGACATGAAGCAAGGTGCAGGAATTTTGCAGTTTGGAATCCGGTGTTTGTGGCTGCTCGAAGGTTTAGAATCAATTAGTTGCGTGGTCAAGTTGCGCGGCGACATGGCGGAGTAATGTAAGGTGTTCGCCTTCTAAGCAATTATGGGTCCATCAGGCCAACCAGCTGACTGCGTTCTACAAGGATCCCAGAGATCACAATAGTAAAGGATTGGGTTTCAAAGAATTGTTACACGGTTCAGAACCAAGGACCTCTGTCCTAGAGGATATTCAATTGTGGAAACGGACCGAAATTAAGACTAGACAAAGACCAAAACGAATAAGGAGATGCCTGTGACATTTTTCAGGTCGATCACTAACAAAGTCCTATCCAACCAAAGGTATTAGATTTTCAACAAGTAGAGTTGTTGCGCTAAGACCAGCTTAATCCGGAGCAATTTACCTGTCTGAAAACAAAAGCGATTTGGCGCTACTGGATTGGTCTGAAGCTTGTAAGTTTTACGGGAAAACCGAATCACATATGTTTCAAACTCGAGTGCACACAGAAACGAAAAAATTTGACTTGTTTAGAAAGGTCAGTTCGCGAATTTCCCACAAGCAACTGTGGGATTTGGATCAGAACAACCCTTTCTTACAACCAGATCAGGGTGTTAATTGTGTTAAGGAAACAGTTGTTCCTGTCGCCGATTGCACACTACACACCACCCTTGACTCATAGAGACTTACAAAATCAAAGGCGAATATGAATGTGGTTTGAATGGTATTGGAATGTTTTCCTTCACAAGTCGGCTTTGGTGGATTAAAGGCAGACACTACTGCACCAGTTATCAGGAATGTGAAACGGCCAGGATGCGAAACGGCAACAAACCAACAGCAGGCCGTAATGACGCCCGCAAAGGAGAAGCATACTTTGGAACCGCAGTCGTATGCGCACGAAGAGTGGACGCACAAGCAATGCACACCATACAACCCATGGAGACAAAAGGAAACCCGCGCCATGCAACGTACAATAGAGGTAGCGAAGATGAATAAATATCTCGTTTATCGGAACGGATGCAACTAGTATAAGCTATGCTCGGCACAACAACAATCAGTCATCAACAACAGCAGTGTATCAGCCATTTCAATTGATCCTTCGCTGCCATACAACCATGTGGACCTATGAAATAAAGAATAAGAAGAGAGAGAGAAAGGGGACTTATCTGAAAACCTTAATGACCTAAGCAAGAATTCAGGGTCAAGGCACCTACAGCTTGTGTTGACATCACACTGTCACAAACAGCTGGTTATCGTGCAAAGATAAGGCGGCATCGGCGAGACAGCTTCCTTGCGGCTTTCACTGCCACGCGTCATAATCAGCCATTATCCCGCAAATAACTCAGCACCAAACACACTTTAAACAGGCAATCCAATTAGGATACGGCAGCAGACGCGCCACTGGTGTCTACTGCAAGCCATGTCCTGTAGTCTCCAGCAAGCACAAGCCGAGTCAGGTGGACTCCAGCCCGGAAGGCGAGACGGACCAACGGCACCCAGTTTAGTTGTCAGTGACTTCATTTCCCGCTGCCAAGTCAACTTCTGTCCAATTCGAGCCTTGCGCCACCCTACACCTGGCAGACTAGACAAGGCCCTCATAGGCAAGCGGTGACCACACATACGTAGCACGTGTCCGAGCCAACGCAACTTATTCAGTGATATCTGTTATTCTAGGGAGCTAGCATGATTATCACCACCTAGTACTCGCCTACACACATCATCGTTGCGGACACGCTGGTGCCATCCGACACCAGCAAAGCTTCGCAGACAACGATGATCAAAGACTTGAAGGCGCCTCAGATCTTCAGACCGAAGGGGACAAGTCTCACTCCCATACAGCAGAACGGCCGTCACTGTGACCTTGTATACCCGGCATTTCAGACGGAGGGAAACTCCCTTCTGTAGCCAAAGATGCCGCAGGTTCAAGAAGGTAGCTCTGGCTTTTGCAATGCGTGAGCTGACGTCAGTTTCTCTGTGCCCATCATTGCTGATGCAGCTGCCAAGATAAGTGAAATGATCAAGCACCTCGAGGTCCTCGTTAGCAAGCTTCAAGGGGTCATCGAGTGGCTGGTGGTCCTGCAGCAACACTTTGCACTTCGAAGGTGCGAGGTGCATACCAAATAATGGGACCACTCTGGACAGGCTATTCAGGGTTGATTGTGCCTCCCCAACATTGTCGATAAGCAAGACCATATCGTCCGCATAATCTAGATCAACTAATCTTTTACCAGGCAGCAATTCAACGCCTTCATCATGAGATTCCGCAAGGGAACACTCCATGATAGAAGTAATTATTTTTTTGGGTGTTGCTCCTCCCAACACTGGAACACCAGGACCGCAATCCTAGCGATCGGAATGACCGAGGTTTACCTTAAAGTGAACCGAGGCCTCAATAGAGGTTGCGGGTCGCAACCCAACCACACAGCGTGTTCCCTATAAATATTCAACTTTGTATTGCTTTCCTCTGTGCCAAGCGTTGCTCGCGGATCAGTAGCATAGTGTTCAGGGCGTCAGCCGTTAACTACTAGGGTCTGAGTTTCACCAAAGCTCAGGCTATCTCCACTGAGGAGTCCAAACCAAGACGAAACCGCGGTCTTGGTGTGCCAGTGTTGGGGGAGCAACACCCAAATATTTTCATTCCAGGATGGTTTTGTGTTCTTCATCGAGAAGCCCACTGCCCGGTGGCTTGACATCTGGTACTCAAGTTAAGACCGTAGAAACATGTTTGATAATACTCCTGAGAAGACAG